TTATTAATAACTCTCAAATTGTTGAGTTTGAGAAATATAAAAATTATATGAATAGATTTGTCTTGAAAAATACTTTTTAAAAGTATACATATATCACTTTTTAATAAATATTTTTATAGAAACAAAAGGTCAAAGTTATATTTTGGAGACCGTGTTGCTGTCCTAAACGACTTCCTTTACGAGTACGAAGGGAGTATTCTCTCGGGGAATATCTATCCGTTTCTTACATACAAACTAAATGATTATAAATATTTTTAAAGAAAATAATAAGATAAATTAATATATAATATTTTTTTAATAATGAAATGTAACATCTTGGTATTTACTTAAAAAGCTACATCCAATTATTACAAAACTCACACAGAAAATTCACGATAGCAGAAACAAAACTAAGCAAACACAAACTAATAGACACCAATAGAAGAAAACAATCCCTAACTACTAAATTCTATTAGAGAATCTCCATCCGAAGTTGGCAAATAGATGCATAATTGTCGTCTCAAAGTTTACGACATTTATCATTTATTAGTTTCATATCTTCATCATGCCTTTGTAATTGAGCTCATCCCCGAAGCCAATACGTTGCCCTGAAAAGCACCTACAAATAGGATTTTGATGGTGTTTTATAAAAAACCATGTCATTTCTACTAAGCCAAAGAGCCCAACATACAGCGGAAGCTTCAACAAGAATAAGTTTTTTGATTCTTTTTCCTAACACCCACAAGCCAATTCCCAAACGTATAAGATATACAAGCATGTAAATTAATATATAATATATCACTTTACAAATATGTAAATTTAAATTTGCCTTCTACAAGTTATAAATTAAACTTTAACTAGTATATATATATTCATAGTTAAATTTATTATTTTTGTTATAACTTGTAAATGGTATGTTCGGCTGCCGGGGCTACGGCTGCGGCACGAACTCACCGTGCGCAGCCACAGCCGTTGCAGCCGGCCTGCCGAACACTTCCAAAGTTGAATTCGATCATGCTTTTGTGAAGTGATATATTATATATTAATTTATTTTATTATTTTTTAAAAAACTTCTATAGCTATTTAATTAGTTGACGTACGAGAAACAGGTGAAATCCAATGAGTGTTTAAAAAAGTTTCCCCATAGCTATCGATGACGATGACCGCCGCATAGTGACATGGGATTGGTTTCTTGGAGATAAGGAGATGTGTAGACGTATAGCCACGTCGTGCAAGATGTCCTTATATGTATATATAAATAGAAGTCATATAGGAGTATCTTAGAATATAAGCATTTTTAGCACGGTGACAAATCAAATATTTTTAATTTAACCATTAATAGAGAAAAGATCAATTATGTAAAATTGATGTTACTAGTTTTATCATTAAATAAACTATCATAATATGCAACTCTTTTTATTTAAAATATCTTACTTTTATAAATATTATTGATCAAAGTAGCATCTCGTAAACCGTGTCAGGGTCCAAAAATACTTATATGGGATAGAGGGAGTATATAACTTTTGATAGAAAATTATCCCTAAAATTATTTAAATGTAACTTTATGTAATTATTTTATAATTAAATTACAATTTAAATATAATTATAAATGTAACTCAAGTGTATTTCGTATGTAACTTCAAGTATATATAAGTCGTGTGCAATAACTACATAACCTAGCTATGGTGTATTTCCTCTGTTTCACGATGTAAGTCATTTTAGCATTTTCCATATTTATATTGGTATTAATGAATCTAGATAGATATATATGTCTAAATTCATTAATATCACTATAAATATGAAAAATGCTAAAATGACTTACGTTGTGAAACGGAGAGAGCATGTAACTTTTAGTGGAAGAAACAAGCTTGTTCGATTATAAGGTATCAAGATCAAGATCAATCCACTATCTGTGCATGCGATTTTGGTTTCACTGTGAAACTTTCACACATATATCCAACTGTTTTTCCCATGCACACAACCGCACAGATCCAACAGTAAAATAAAAACTGCTTTTCCCAAGCCCACATCCCATCGTAAGCACAGATCCAACAGTAAAAGAATCTTATTGATACGGCCACGAAAAATCTGTCGACAACGCATTAGTAAAGTTAAGTGTAAAACCGATATAGTAGGAACATTCTCCCTCCGTCCCAAAATATAAGTATTTTTTACTCTGATATAGTCTCTGAGATGTTACTTTGACCAACAATATCTATAAAAGTAAGTTGTTTAAATAAAAAGAGTTGTATGTTATGATAGTTTGTTTAATGATAAATCTAATACCATTAATTTACATGATTGATTTTTTTTTGCTATTAGTGGTCAAATTTAAAAATGTTTGACTTGTCACTATGCTAAAAATGCTTATATTTTGGAACGGCGTGAGTACATATGTAAACACTTCCGGAAAAATCATTAGTAGCACCCTGATAGTGTTGAGTGTTGACTGTTGATTACGACGAATAAATCGGTGCTAGACCGTACAGTATAGGAGTAACAATAATATCGCACCTCGACCACATGTTAGGGCGACTAGCAAGCGGCCAGCCCGGCCCTCACGTGGTTGTCGTCGTCACCGGAGAAGTCGCTGCTCCTCTCGCGTCTCATCCTCACCAATCTTGCTCTCTGCATGCCACCCACATTGCTCATCCCCTGCTAAAATAAACGCGGCCATTGCTCGCTGCATGCCACCAACACGCAGCAGTCACCGGAGAGAGTAAACTAAACCAGGGCAAGTGATGTAGAGTCTGTTTGACGCAGCTCCAGCTTCACCTAGAGGTGGGCATAATTAGACCGAACCGAAGAATCGAACCGAAAAGACCGAGGCCGAGAAATTCGATTAGTAGTTTGGTCTCAGCCATCAAAAGACCAAATTTATTTCGGGTATTTCGGTCATTGGGCTCGGTTAACCAAATTAACCGAGATAATCGAATTGTGGCCAAACATGCCTACGAGGCCCAATAAGCCCAGTAACATAAACCCTAATCCTACCCTATCTCTCACTGCTTGCCTCACGCGTCACGCCCCTCACCCCCTCCTCAACGCTGCATTCCTCCCCATCCACCACGCGTTCGCGCTCACCGCCGCTCGGCCTCTGCCTCCACTGCACCGCTTCCACCCTCCGCCTCCAACCTCCACCGTGTCGGCGCCGCCTCCAGCCAGGACGCCTCCGCCTCGGCACCGCCCTTTCACCTGTCATGGCGGAAGAAATCGTGCTCCCTCCGATGACCCTGCTGCGCCGGAGACCTAGATGGCTGAGGAGGCCGGTCGAGGATGAAAGCGACCATGGGAGATCAACGGGATCTAGAGCTTCAGGTGGATCGACGGGATCCAAGTCATGGCAAGATCGATTTGTTTTGATTTGCTTCTTCTTTTTTCTGAATCATGCTCTAGTGGCATCATATTGTAGTTCTTTATCCGAGTTGCTTCGATTCATCGATCTTGTATGGAGTATTTTTTTTGTGATTAATTTTTTTTGCTGTTTAAACTGTTGTTATGGTTAGTTTGGTCTATGACCAAGACCGAACCGAACCGAACTAACCGAAGACCGAAGTGTTCGGTCTTGAGTTTTCTTGAACACCGGTCGGTCTTATGATTCGGAAGACCAAATTTTCCAAAAGATCGAGGAACCGAACCGAACTTTTCGGTTAGACCGAATGCCCACCCCTAGCTCCACCTCTTCTACAATTGGTGTTCAGCCAAACAGTTTCAGCTCCATCTAAAATGGGAGCGGAGCTGGGTGGAATTCTGTCACAAAATGAACTAGAGAGATGGAAATGGGTTTCGGCAGCTCCACAACTCCACTCCAGACCCAACTCCTGAAGCTAAATTTAGGAGTTGAAGCTTTACCAAACAGGCCCGTAGTAGTACGGTAGCATCACGCAGGCGTTGGACTTTGGGGGATAGGGGCTGTTAGTTCCCATCCATACATGGTCACCATTTGTTAATAAAAATATTAATTAAAATGAAATTATTAGCCATACCTTAACAGGAAAAAGAAAATACTAGCACACTTTTTAAATCATTGACGCGTGAAAACTAACTTGTTAAAAAGGCTATATTGTCGTAATGGTTTTGCTATTTCACTTACAATAGATTTTTTGGGCTCCTGCTTTTTTACCTTTCATCCATATATAGGATCTTGCACATCAAGATTCATGTTCCTGAAGACCCAATTTACAGTTACAGTGCACTTAAATATAACTGTTTTTTTAATTTATGATTTTTGATATATTGTCTTTTTTTATTTCATTCAAAACAAATATATCCCTTGATGGAAAATTCTGTAAGATTTAAACTACAAATCTACTATTGAAAGATCAATACCTTGTTATAATTGTGGTTAGTTTCAACCAATAACTATTCAAATTAATCGAACTTATCTAACACTAGTATACACTCCGTCCGTTTCAGGTTACAAGATGTTTTGACAAATTGCTTTAACTTTGATCAAGTTTGTAGAGAAAAATAGTAATGTTTTTAACTCAAGTCAAATTTATTATGAAAATATATTCAATTATTGATTTGATAAAACTAATTTAGTATTATAAATATTATTATTTTTTCTATAAACTTAGTTAAAATTTAAACAGTTTGACTTTAATCAAAGTTAAAATGGTCTTATAACCTAAAACGGGGGAACAATATAGACGTGTATAGACGTAGTAGAGTTTAAAAAAACATAGACGTAGGGTGTGTTCGAGGAGAAGAGGATTAAAAAGATTAGAAAGATACACAAAACGAGGTGAGCCATTAGCTCATGATTAATTGAGTATTAACTATTTTAAATTTCAAAAATAGATTAATATGATTTTTTTAAAGTAACTTTCCTATAATTTTTTTTTGAAAAAACGTACTGTTTAGTAGTTTAAAAAGCGTACGCGTGGAAAACGAGACTCAATCTCCCCAGTCTACCCGAACGAACGATGCCGTAGTTAACCGTGGTAAAGTTTGACTTAGTAGTGTATTAACCAAACGCTAATAATAAGTACAGCGGCGTCAGCGAGTACGCACGCACGCGCATGCTGCGCCCCCACTCCAGTGGAGGAGTACTCCACTAGGCGGCCACTCCTGTTGACGCCGAGTATAAACAAAACCCAAAAGCGGCGAGAGCAACCAAAGCCCAAGTTTGTGGGGGGCAATAGCTCCCGTCGTCTCTCGCCGTCTCGTCACACGAGGAGGAAGAGGTCGATCGATCGATCGAGATGGGGTCAGAGGCGGCGGCGGCGAGGCCGGTGGTGGTGACGGTGAACGGGGAGAGGTACGAGGCGGTGGGGGTCGACCCGTCGACGACGCTGCTCGAGTTCCTCCGCACGCGGACCCCCGTCCGGGGCCCCAAGCTCGGCTGCGGCGAAGGTGAGAGCTACCACCACCATGCATGTCGGCGCTGCCATCTCTCTCCCTTCTCGATCTTCTTCTCCTTTCTCGTGGGAATCTTGAGCTATACTGGTCAAATCCATTCCATTTGTTCATTCCTTTCTTAGTCTGTCCAGTTTCTAGTCTGTTTTGACGGTCAAGTGATTGAGTCTGCGTGTAGTTTTTCTCGCCAGGTAAAATCTCCATGTATAGTTAAGTAGTACTATTACTGTTTTATTTGGTGTTTTCCGGATGTGGCCACAGAATTAGTACTGTTTTTTTTAGCACCATTTAGCTCACCTGATCGCTGGAGTACACTAGTATTGTGCTGATGTACAGTATTTCACAGCATGAGAAAACTAGTGGAGTACTACAAAACATGTCCTCCAGGAAGAGGAAATTAACTGTACGTAAGTACATATCGCGCAGAATAGTGTAGCAATAAATTAATTAGAACAAACCAAGAAGAAGGTGCCCAGTAGCTTACTGGATTATCGTGTTATTTGCAGTTGTTGGAGCGAAGTAGCTAGCGACAGCGCCATCTCAATTCTAAAACGAATCATCCAGCTTTCCGCCTGCAAATTGTTTTTTTTTTTTGTTTTTCTTTTGTCCTTTTTCTATAGGTATCACTATCAGGTAGCAAGTATATATGCAACTACTATAACAGTTCTCAATTCTGGATACTTCCAGCTTTTCTCCTTAAATTTAATCCATAAAGCTGAGTGGTCCGTTTTCCACAATGCTTTTCCTGAGATAATGAGAAAATGATTTTCTTTGAATTCACAAAAGTTAACAGACACCTCATCAGTGACTGACATGACAGTTCATCAGTAATCAGATGATGTTTCTGCATCAGCAACAGTGCGCAATACAAGCAGTTGCAATCAGTAGACCTAAGGATTTCTACTGTACTAAGTAACAGTGATGGTAATTATCAATTAGACAGTACGAATAACTTACTGAGGATATCATTTTTTTTTTCAGGTGGATGCGGCGCATGCGTGGTCGTCGTTTCCAAGTACGACGCCGTCGCCGACGAGGTGACCGAGTTCTCGGCGAGCTCCTGCCTGACGCTGCTCGGCAGCCTGCACCACTGCGCGGTCACCACCAGCGAGGGCATCGGCAACTCCAGGGATGGCTTCCACGCCGTGCAGCGGCGGCTCTCCGGCTTCCACGCCTCGCAGTGCGGCTTCTGCACCCCGGGCATGTGCATGTCCATCTACTCCGCGCTCGCCAAGGCCGACAGGTGCTCGTCCCGTCCCTCGCCGCCGCCGGGGTTCTCCAAGCTCACCGCCGCTGAGGCCGAGAAGGCCGTCTCCGGCAACCTGTGCCGCTGCACCGGCTACAGGCCCATCGTCGACGCGTGCAAGAGCTTCGCCGCCGACGTCGACCTCGAGGACCTTGGCCTCAACGCCTTCTGGAAGAAAGGCGCCGACGACGAGCGCGCTGACGTCGGCAAGCTGCCTGCATACTCTGGTGGCGCCGCCGTCTGTACGTTCCCGGAGTTCCTCAAGTCGGAGATAAGGTCATCCATGGGTCAAGCGAATGGTGGCGCTCCGGCGGTGGCGGTCACCGGAGACGGCTGGTTCCACCCCAAGAGCGTCGAGGAGTTCCACAGGTTGTTTGACTCTAACCTGTTCGACGAAAGGTCTGTGAAGATTGTGGCATCGAACACCGGCTCCGGAGTGTACAAGGATCAAGACCTCCATGACAAGTACATCAACATCTCGCAGATTCTGGAACTCTCAGCCATCAATAGAAGCAGCAAGGGCGTCGAGATCGGAGCTGTCGTGTCTATCTCCAAAGCCATTGAGATATTGTCGGATGGAGGCGCAGTGTTCAGAAAGATTGCCGATCACCTGAGCAAAGTGGCCTCGTCGTTCGTCCAGAACACGGCGACCATTGGAGGCAACATCATCATGGCGCAGAGGCTGTCTTTCCCGTCGGACATCGCAACGGTTCTTCTCGCTGCAGGATCAACTGTCACCATCCAGGTGGCCGCCAAGAGGATGTGCATCACTCTGGAGGAGTTCTTGAAGCAGCCTCCATGTGATTCCAGGACGTTGTTGGTCAGCATCTCTATCCCGGATTGGGGTTCAGATGATGGCATCACCTTTGAGTCGTTTCGTGCGGCTCCTCGTCCACTTGGCAATGCTGTGTCATATGTTAATTCTGCATTCTTGGCAAGAAGTTCAGTGGATGGATCATCAGGGAGCCATCTCATTGAGGATGTTTGCTTGGCATTTGGCGCCTTCGGGGCCGAACACGCCATCAGAGCTAGGGAGGTTGAGGAGTTCTTGAAGGGAAAATTGGTTAGTGCACCAGTGATACTTGAAGCAGTTCGGCTTCTTAAAGGTGTTGTTTCACCAGCTGAAGGCACAACACATCCTGAATACAGAGTCAGCTTGGCCGTCAGTTATCTGTTCAGATTCCTGACTTCCCTTGCTAATGGCTTGGATGAGCCTGAAAATGCTAATGTTCCCAATGGTTCATGTACTAATGGAACCGCAAACGGTAGCGCTAATTCCTCTCCGGAGAAGCACTCAAATGTTGACAGCTCTGATTTGCCAATAAAATCAAGGCAAGAGATGGTTTTCTCTGATGAATACAAACCTGTTGGAAAGCCGATCGAGAAAACCGGAGCAGAGCTCCAAGCTTCTGGTACATACTCTCTCATCATAAATTCCTATTATCAATCCAAACTCACATGTTTTACTTTTAATTACTATTTCGAATACTACAATCTAAATTCGTGCTACCCATGTTAGAGCATCTTAGAGGCTTGGATTTTCATAGCCTGAACATCTGAACTTGATATGCAGGAGAGGCAGTGTATGTTGATGACATCCCTGCTCCGAAGGATTGCCTCTATGGAGCATTTATCTATAGCACACACCCTCACGCTCACATAAAAGATATAAACTTCAGATCATCTTTGGCTTCACAGAAGGTCATCACAGTTATCACTGCAAAGGACATTCCTACCGGTGGAGAAAATATTGGATCATGCTTCCCAATGCTTGGAGATGAAGCGCTTTTCGTTCATCCTGTTTCTGAATTTGCCGGCCAGAATATTGGTGTTGTGGTACTTACATCTAAACCACCTGAACTTTCTTTCAGATGAGGCATAACTAGTAATATGTCTGAATATTTAGAAATTTTGTGAATAAATTCGAGCTTACCATGTCATATTGCCTTGCTATCATTCAGATTGCTGAAACACAAAAGTATGCCTATATGGCGGCGAAGCAAGCTGTGATCGAATATAGTACCGAAAATCTTCAGCCACCAATTCTGACAATAGAAGATGCTGTCCAGCATAACAGCTACTTCCCAGTTCCCCCATTTTTAGCTCCTACGCCAATTGGTGACTTCAACCAAGCTATGTCTGAAGCTGATCACAAGATCATAGATGGGGAGGTATGTACTTAAACACTTTGAATATAATAGATACAGAAGTTATAGTCTCCTGAACTCATGACTTAATTAGGTACTCCCTCCGTTTCACAATGTAAGTCATTCTAGTATTTTCCATATTCATATTAATGCTAATGAATCTAGATAGATATATATGTCTAGATTCATTACCATCAATATGGATGTGGGAAATGCTAGAATGACTTACATTGTGAAACGGAGGAATTAGTTTAGTAGTAGAACAATTTTGATGCGCATTATCTATTGAACAGCAGGTGCTAAGAAAGAAAGGAGTAACCAAGATCGTAGAAGATTATTATAGTCAGAGTTCCTGACAACTTTACGAGAGATACTTACACCCGATTTCTATTTTTTTGTTACAGGTGAAACTTGAATCCCAGTACTATTTCTACATGGAGACACAGACGGCCTTAGCTATCCCTGATGAAGATAACTGTATAACCCTCTATGTGTCGGCGCAACTACCTGAGATTACTCAAAATACTGTTGCGAGGTGCCTTGGCATTCCATATCACAATGTCCGTATCATCACGAGAAGAGTTGGAGGAGGTTTTGGTGGAAAGGCAATGAAAGCAATACATGTGAGCATCTGACTATGATGATTTGCATTTGCAGAACAATTATATTCTTGAACTGGTGGAATTTCTCGTCTAACTCTGTAGTTATTCGTACTACAATGCATATGCTTTTGTTTAACAATTATAATAGTAGTACAATAGTATTTCATAACTAAAAATATTGTGAGAACTTAATACATATTTCATTGTTGTAGGCTATTTTAGAATGTGAACCAACCATGGACGGTTTAAATCTCTGTTTGATAACGTCATTAGCTTGAAATTACAAACTGTTTGGAATGCAGAATGATCTTGATATGACCAGAAGTACCTGTTGCTTGACAGGTTGCCGCTGCATGTGCTGTCGCCGCATTCAAGCTGCGGCGTCCGGTTCGAATGTACCTCGATCGCAAGACAGACATGATCATGGCGGGAGGGCGGCATCCGATGAAGGTAAAGTACTCCGTCGGTTTCAAGTCCGACGGCAAGATCACGGGTCTGCACTTTGATCTTGGAATGAACGGCGGAATATCGCCGGATTGCAGCCCGGTGTTGCCAGTCGCCATTGTCGGGGCTCTGAAGAAGTACAACTGGGGCGCTCTCTCCTTCGACATCAAGGTCTGCAAGACGAACGTCTCGTCGAAGTCGGCGATGCGGGCTCCCGGCGACGCGCAGGGCTCGTTCATCGCCGAGGCCATCGTCGAACACATCGCGTCCACTCTCTCAGTGGACACGAACGCCATCAGGAGGAAGAACCTCCACGACTTCGAGAGCCTCAAGGTGTTTTATGGGAATAGCGCCGGTGATCCTTCGACGTACAGTCTCGTCACCATCTTCGACAAGCTGGCCTCGTCGCCGGAGTACCAGCAGAGGGCCGCCATGGTCGAGCACTTCAACGCCGGCAACAGGTGGAAGAAGCGGGGCATTTCTTGCGTGCCGATCACCTACGACGTGAGGCTCCGGCCAACTCCGGGGAAGGTGTCCATCATGAACGACGGCTCCATCGCCGTTGAGGTCGGCGGCGTCGAGATCGGGCAGGGGCTGTGGACGAAAGTGAAGCAGATGACAGCGTTCGCGCTGGGCCAGCTCTGCGATGATGGCGGCGAGGGCCTCATCGACAAGGTCCGTGTCATCCAGGCCGACACCCTGAGCATGATCCAGGGAGGCTTCACCGGTGGGAGCACGACCTCCGAGACTAGCTGCGAGGCTGTTCGGAAGTCGTGCGCCGCCCTCGTGGAGAGGTTGAAGCCCATCAAAGAGAAGGCTGGCACGCCACCATGGAAATCCCTTATTGCCCAGGTAAATTCTTGTTTGAGTTTTCTCGTCCTTAAAAAAACTACTTCCTCCGTTTCACAATGTAAGTCATTTTAACATTGTCCATATTCATATTAATATTAATAAATCTAGATAGATATATTTGTCTAAATTCATTAACATCAATATGAATGTGGGAAATGCTAATATGACTTATATTGTGAAACGGAGGGAGTAATAACTTTTTCAGTAAACTGCAAGCATCAGTAAGGAAATCTTGTTTTCTGAAAGATCATTGTGTCTGACAGCGTTGTAAATTTACAAATTTGTGATGGCATTTGCTCGTTCTCGCTTTCAGGCAAGCATGGCGAGTGTGAAGCTGACAGAGCACGCGTACTGGACGCCTGACCCCACGTTCACTAGCTACTTGAACTATGGAGCTGCAATTAGTGAGGTACACACTAAAGATACCCAGATACAAATTACAACAGAAGCTCTGAAAATGCATTTGCCGAGCCAATTTGCTGAGCTTGATCTCCTTCTCAAAGCTAATGCATTGTCCATCCAAAATCTGCACATGAACACTCCAGGTGGAAGTCGATGTGCTGACGGGAGAAACCACCATCCTGAGGAGCGACCTCGTGTACGACTGTGGGCAGAGCCTGAATCCTGCTGTGGACTTGGGCCAGGTCAGTCAATCTACTAAATTACCTTCAAAATATCAGTTGCATCTGCAATTCTGCGCGTTGCAAAATCATTGCAAGAATGAGATGTAAATTATATGTGATCTGAATGTGCAATCGTTGTTTTTTGTGATCAGGTGGAAGGCGCATTCGTGCAAGGGATCGGCTTCTTCACGAACGAGGAGTACACGACCAACTCCGATGGGCTGGTCATCAACGACGGCACGTGGACGTACAAGATCCCCACCGTGGACACCATCCCCAAGCAGTTCAACGTCGAGCTCATCAACAGCGCCCGCGATCACAAGCGCGTCCTCTCCTCCAAAGGTGAAAATCTCTTCTTCGTTTGCTCCTTTTTTTTTTCTCAAATCTGAATTCTGATATTGTTGCTGTCCTTCATGGCATGCAGCGTCCGGTGAGCCGCCGCTGCTGCTGGCGTCGTCGGTGCACTGCGCGATGAGGGAGGCGATCAGGGCGGCCAGGAAGGAGTTCGCCGGCGCCGGAGGCTCGCCGCTGACGTTCCAGATGGACGTGCCGGCGACGATGCCGATCGTCAAGGAGCTCTGCGGCCTTGACGTCGTGGAGAGATATCTCGAGAGCTTTGCTGCCAAAGCCTAGAGATAGAAGGGTTCTTTGGCTTAGCTTTGTATAAACACCAACAATAATCTGCGCCTGGATTTGTGTTGATGTGGTATATATGTACAGAACAAAAGGTGTTTTTTTGGGAAAAATAAAATCATATGGATGGTATTGTTCTATCATGTCTCATGGAGTCATGCTATCCAAATGAAAAGGAACAAAAAAAATGCCATTCTTTTTTAGATGGGATCGGTCGGTGTTGGGTCGGACTGAAGCGAGATATAGCGGGCATAAAAAAAAGAAAAAAGAAAGAGGACTTAACTCTAGAGCATAAAAAGACATTTAAGACATACTGGAAAAAAAATAATAATACTTTAGCAGAAAAGTTTAGTATACAGTTGAACTAACTAGTACGATAGCATACAGAGACCCGAAGGTAAGTAATGCCTTGTTTAGTTCCCATTTTTATTTTTAAAAACATCATATCGAATATTTGGATACATGGAGTATTAAATATAGATAAATTAAAAAAACTAATTGCACAGTTAGAGGGGAAATCACGAGATGAATCTTTTGAGCCTAATTAGTCCATGATTAGCCATAAGTGCTACAATAACCCACATGTACTAATGACGAATTAATTAGGCTCAAAAGATTCGTTTCACGGTTTCCAGGCGAGTCATGAAATTAGTTTTTTCATTCGTGTCCAAAAACCTCTTTCCACATCCGATCAAGCGTCCGATATAACACCCAAAATTTTCTTTTCGCGAACTAAACAGGCCCTAAGCGTATGTGCTACTCTAGCCTCTGACCAGCTTAGTCACGCTCAGCCTCCTCACATCATGTCTGGCCCGTCGTCACATCCGCTCAGAACATATCTAAATCATGGAAAATAACGATTAACTCATAATTTATCTTGTTGCCACGGTATCCTCGCTACTAGAAAAAGGCTTTTCGCAAGCGGCCAAATCATATTTTCGCAGGCGGACAAGCCATCCGCCTGCACCTCAACACCTGTGAAAATAGTTGATTTTCGCAGGCGGGCAACACGTCCGACTGCGAAAATAGCTTCGAGCGCTAAAAAAAAAATGGGCAGCCACCACCGGACGGCGGTAGCTTCCCGTTCCCAATCCATTTCCCATCCAATCCATTCAATTCATCCAAAATCACCATCCCCATCCAATCCATTCAATTCGTCCAGAATCACCGAGTCAATTGTAGCAAAGAAAGCAAATAAAGACATTCAAAAAAATCACGGCCGCCGCCTAGTCGTCCGCCACCGCCCAGCCGTCGTCCATCGCCGCCGCTGCATGTCCGCGCCACGCCGTCGTCCGCCGCTGCATGTCCGCGCCGCGCCGTCGTTCGGCGCTGCCGCACGGCCGCGGCCCGCCGTCGTCCGCGCCGCCTCCGCCGCCTCAACCCCCCTCGCCGCCGTGGCCACACCGCCTCGCCGCCACCGCCCGCCGCCGTGCTCCTCCCGCCCCCCTCCGGCCAGATCTGGGAGGGAGGGGCTGGGAGCCGCCGGCCACCGTTCTCCCCCTGCCCCCTCCGGCCAGATCTGGGAGGGAGGGACCGGGAGCCGCGCCGTCTCGACCCTCCTCGCCGCTGCCGCCCTCCGCCGCCGTCGCCAGGAGCACACGTCGCCACCGCCCCGCGCCCGGCCGCCGGCCGCCGGCCTCCCCCCTACCCCCTCCGGCCAGATCTGGAGGGGAGGAAGGGAGGGAGGGGAGCCGCCGCCCCACGCCGTCTTCCCCGCCGGCCGCCCCGCGCCGTCCGCCCCTTCTGCCGGTGGGGAGAATGAGGAGAGAGGAGAGGTGAAGGGGAGGGGAGGGGAGAGGAGAGGAGAGTGAGGGGGAGAGGAAAGGACTTAGAAAAAAATTCGGGCCATCTGCCATGTATATATATCACGCTAATTTTCGCAGGCGTTGCTTAAGTGGTCCGCCTGATTTTCGCAGGCGCCGCTTAAGTGGTCCGCTTGCGGACATCAAATTTCACCCTGACTTATATTTTTGTAGCCGGTCATTTGGCTCTAAACGTCATGTCCGCCTGCGAAAATAAGACCCTTACGTTGGGAAAAATGCTTTTTCTAGTAGTGCATGTTTCATAGTTTTTCTGTTAATATTTAAATTAAAAAATGTTAGCCATACCTTCACAAGAAAAAAAAAGTCCTAGCATACTTTTTAATTATTGACGCGTCAAAATTAACTTTTTAAGAAGGTTACATTGTTATAGCGGTTTTGCTATTTTACTTACAATAGATTTTTCAGCTCTTTTTTTTATTTTTCACATAGGATCTTATATCAAGATTCAGGTTCTCTCGCCGTCTAGCGCGTCTCCTGTCCTGCACCCGCGCGCGCGGGCTGTGGCCACAGGAGGAGGTAGAGGTCGGTTGATCGAGATGGGGTCAGAGGCGGCGGCGGCGGCGAGGGCGGTGGTGGTGGCGGTGAACGGGGAGAGGTACGAGGCGGTGGGGGTCGACCCGTCGACGACGCTGCTCGAGTTCCTCCGCACGCGGACCCCCGTCAGGGGCCCCAAGCTCGGCTGCGGCGAAGGTGAGAACTACCATCTCTCTCCTTCTCGATCTTAATTACGGCTGTTTGCTTCGATCTCTTCTTCTGCTTGCTCGTCGGAATCTTGAGCTATACTGGTCCATCCATTAATTCCATGAGATTTGGTGTTCGTCGGCATGTTTATTTCGCGAAAAGAAATTTTTTCCTCGTGTCACATCTGATATATCGGAAGGGGTTTTCGGATATGAATGAAAAAACTAATTTTTCATAATTCGTTTGGAAACCGCGAGACGGATCTTTTGAGCTAATTAACTGTCATTAGCACGTGAGTTATTGTAACACTTATGGCTAATCATGTACTAATTAGGCACAAACGATTCGTCTCGCGATTTTCTCCCTAACCATTTAATTAGTTTTTTTAATCTATATTTAATATTTCATGTACCTGTCCAAAGATTTGATGGGATGTTTTTTAAGAAAAAAAATTTGAAACTAAACTAAGCCTCATTCTTCCTTTGTTAGTCTGTCCAGTTTCTAGTCTGTTTTTTTTTGACGGTCACTTGATTAAGTCTGCGTGTAGTTTTTCTCGCCAGGTAAAATCTCCATGTAATTAAGTAGTTCTACTGTTTTTATTGGTGTTTCCCGGATGTGGCAATAATTAGTACTTTTTTTAGCACTGTTTAGCTCACCTGATCGCTGTACATGTCCTCCGGGAAGAGGAAATTAACCGTACGCAAGCACATATCATGCAGAATATCGTAGCAACGAATTCACAACAAACCAAGAAGAAGGTGCCCAGTAGCTTACTGGATTATCGTATTATTTGCAGTTGTTGGAGCGGAGGAGCTAGAAAACGAATTATCCAGGTTTTCCGCATGCAAATTGCACTTCTTTTTGTTTTTCTTTTGTTTTTTTTCTATTGGTATCACTATCAGGTAGCAAGTATATACGCAACTACTAGAACAACTAGGATGTATAGCTATCAGGTAGCATGTATGGAATATTGTGTCTAGGAGACATAACGGCAGAATATCAACCGGATATAACACCTACATACCGTGCATCAAAATAATTATTTCTCCATAAATTTTCTTCATCACAATTGTTTGTATAAATTTTCCAGGTTGTTTGTTAGCTTTAAACTATACGATATTTTCTTCATACCCACAAAAAATTAATTATAACATTTTTCATTATCTTAAAAGGAGGTTAACTTAATTTGTTTAAAACAAATATCTAACAAATTAAGTGCAAATTAAAAATAAGGTGATTTTCCTTTTAAGTTGAATGTTTAGGTGCTCTATTTTTTTTAACAAATCCTAAAAAAATATTATTATCAATAAATATGTTTTATTTATACCATAAAGCTGCCCCTCCTTCTAATTGGTTTCATACCCAGGCAATTTTTACATACATATATATGAGTACTAGAAAAATGACTGTGCGTTGCAACGGGTGAAAACTATTTTAATTTTATTATTGTTATAGGTTTAGTTAAAGTTAAATTCACTGTGGAAATTCGCTTGAATATATATTTTCTTAGAAAATCAGGAGCTGCAGTTAGGAGTCTGATTGTCTCAAGGCATGCGAGTGTATTTTAAAGAGATTTCTATACGACTCCTTTTGATTTTCAAAAGTGGACTAACTTAAAAACGGAGTCAAACACGGATATGTATTTCCAAATGCGAACAAAACTTAAAAACCGACTCAAACACAGATAACCTACAAGTACCGGCAAAATCATCTTCAATTTTTATAATAGTAGAAATATATATGAGTGAATAAAGAAAAGAGATCTACATACCTTATTTTTTATGATATACTTAATCTGTAGTATTTATTTAAAGTTCTAAAATATAAATCTCTACTATTATAAAAACTGAAGATGTTTCCGTGGTCCGTCATCCGTATTTGAGTCGGTTTTAATTTTATGTTTTGGTTTTAATCTATATGTCTTCTCTTCTCTACTTTTATAAAAATTGAAAATGTTTTTACCGGTATTTTGGTATGTCATCTGTGTATGAGTCGGTTTTTAAGTTATTTTGCTTTTGAAAAAAATACATATCCATATTTGAGTCGGTTTTTAAGATCGTTCACTTTTGGTAATACAGAAGAAATCATATAAGAAATTTATTTAAAAAAACTTACATGCTAACTTGAGGTGATTGGACTCCTAACTCCAGGCCATGATTTTCTAAAAATATATATATCCAAGCGAACTCTCGCAGTAAATTACATCTTAACTAAACCGTACAACAATAATAAGATTAAAATAAACTTCACCCGATGCAACGCAAGGGTATTTTTTTAGTTTAATACTAATAGAGTAACAGTGAGGGGGTAATTATCAATTTGACAGTACGGATAAATTACTAAGGATTTCTTCTTTTTTTTTTCAGGTGGATGTGGCGCATGCGTGGTCGTCGTGTCCAAGTACGACGCCGTCGCCGACGAGGTGACCGAGTTCTCGGCGAGCTCCTGCCTGACGCTGCTCGGCAGCCTGCACCACTGCGCGGTCACCACCAGCGAGGGCATCGGCAACTCCAGGGATGGCTTCCACGCTGTGCAGCGGCGGCTCTCCGGCTTCCACGCCTCACAGTGCGGCTTCTGCACGCCGGGCATGTGCATGTCCATCTACTCCGCGCTCGCCAAGGCTGACAAGGCATCCGGTC